CCTGTAAATTTCAAACACGAAACGCGACTTTGTGTAGGCCTACATATAGCAGGATCCTTCACCTCAACATAAGCCTATCACAAAATAAACAGAAAAATAGTGAATCTGGATTCAAACTCACCTTAATCTTTCCTTCCATAAAAAGTAAATACATATCAATGTAACTAAATTCCATCATGTCGACACCAATGCAGAACGGTATTATTCGTCTCCATGTCTTCACTATATCTTCTATTCAAGAATGTTGTGAGCATCTTTATATTCTAATCCGTGACTCAATGTTTAACAGCAGAAATAACCCTTCATAATAACACGTTTCATATTGTTTTAACATGATGCACAATGCAACACTCTGGAATCTTCTACTCCACAAGAGATGGAGAATTTTATGTAGCACGCGATTGCGCAAACACAATTCATATTTACCCAATTCTTAACAGACATTTTTAAGCGTTCGTAAAATAGAAGCCAACACAATAAATACACAGTCACTTAAATAGTAATCTGTATCACAGTTGCCACACTCTATTACAATGAAAATCATCCACACTAAATACAATCTATATTTTATTACGACATAACTATCTTCCAACACCAGGCTACCAAATCACGAGTATTAATGGATGTAACTTTGCAACTACGAGGAACAAAGAGCATAGTGCCAACAAAAGAGAACCAAATGTACATATTTAAAATATCTGCCATAAATTAGTTTACTTTCTGTACTCAGTCGATTACTTTTTATTTTTTCAGAAAAGTACATTGTAAACGAATCGTGAAATAATTCTTAAAAAGGATCTTCACTCTATTACTTTCATGCATTTTATGCCTTCACAAACGAGCCGTGCCCCACAATGCAACAGAAAGTGATTTGTGTCATCCTTCATTGCTGAATCCAGTTTTTTTCTCTGTATGAAATCTCTTGTTTCAGTTTCTCAATTTCTTGCCTTGCTGCAAAGTCTGTAACAATCGGTGATTATTTTAGATAGTAAAATTCCTCTTTTGACTATATGTTAACAAACAAGAAAGTTTGTCTTACAGTAAACTGCCATTTCTACACAGCTCCATATATATATATACGACAATGGCTTGAGGTCAAGAGAGCACATTCTTCGACGTTATCTCTCTTGGTTTATTGGATCCGAAACTGTTACGAATATGAAGACGGAAAAAGACGAGAGGGTTTTCTGAAGACCCGAAAGATGGCACAAAGAGAAAGAACGCTCCTCTGCTCATAGTACCAAGAGTACTCCCTAGAGTGCATCCGCTACCGCACAATAATATTGATTTTAGTTCTTCCTGTGCTCTGAGGTTAGGTTTTCGCCTGCGTGAAAGAACGCTGTATAAAACACAGGTTTTAAGATTACGAATGAAATGAGGCAGTGAAATTTATTTTACCCATTACTTTTACGAGCTGCATACAGACCTGTCCCTCTGGTCCAGTAACCAAATCAGCCAACATTTTTTCATTAAACCTGGCGTGAACAGAGTGCACTGCAAGCCTTTTTAAAGAGTAATTAGATTTGTGTCTGCCCAGCGGAATTCGGTAAACTAATTCACATAGAATTCACAATTTCATTTATTAAAATTGCCAAAAAAAGAAGAGATTCTGGAACGAACTGTGGATTAATATAAGACACAAAATGCAACTACAAAATTGCCAAGTACAAATTGTAGGCATATATGAAAAATATAATTCTCACCTATCATATATTAGCCAACATAGACATACGCTTATTTTGCATGCATCGCGTTAAAAAGCAAATGAGCATAAGAACAAGTGATTTGTCTTCTATCTTTGAGTGCGCTTAGTCCAGCAAATTAGTTAAGTTGCAAATATTCCGTCCCAGTCAGAGGACACGCACAAAACGTCGGAACAATTTGTTATTCTAACAGTCGGCAATTGTCAGCCCCACGCCCAACACACAAGTCAGAGGATCACCCCATGTCGGCTGTCCGCGAAAGCTTGTTCGAAACACTCCGTATATGGCGGCCATAGTCGATCGTGATCCTGGTTTTGTGTGGACTACGGGCCAAAGTTCCCTCCCTCTCTGCAGCCATTCTTGTTTCTGGGGCTCACCTAACCTGGTATCCCGTGACCATCGAGGGTCAAGCAGGCCGAAGCGTGAAGATGACGCTTGGGCACAGGAACAATTATCGCAACAACGAATTATCTGAGGCAGAATCGGACTCAACGCCAGAAAATTCTCTAACTTAACGAAAGTAAAACCACGAAGTACTCAAGACAAAGCTG